AATGCAAAACGGCACATCCACTGTGGAAGACAGTTTGGCAGTTACTTATAAAACTAAACACACTCTTACCATATGCTCCAACAATCACACTCTGTGGCACTGTCCCCAAAAACTTGAATATTTTTGTCAACATAAAAGTGTGCAGGGATGTTTAGAACAGTTTTATTTATAATGACCAAAAGTTGGAAACAACTAAGATGTCCTATGGTAAGAGAATGGATAATTAAACTCCAGCACTCAAAAGAAATGGACTACCAAGCCACAAAAAAACATGGAGGAAAACTAAATACTATATACTATACAGTTCTAATTATATGACATTCTGAAAATGACAAAATTATCGAGACAGATGTTAGTGCAGAAGAGGGAATGAATAGGCAAAACAGGATGTTTAGGACAGTAAAACTACTGTGTGTGAGAATAGTAGATGTGTTGATATATGTTTACATAGAATTATATACATAAATTATATACATATTTAAGTATTTTATATATAAATATTATATGAAATATACAATCCATTTTTAAGTTACCTTAAAAGAATAAATCTGGCTGTGACAATTTTGGTTAAAATTTTTCAGGGATTCCCCATACTTTTGGTTAAAGTTAAAAACCCTTATATTTTCATTAGTAGAGCCTTTCTTAAAGTCCTTGGTTGAGATTAAAACTTGAATATTTTCTCACTTTCTTCAGCATAGTACTTATATGTTTCTTTCCATTTTGAAAAATAAAAATACAGGACATACTAATGGACATGATTTGTAAAGCTGGATTATTTTTGGTGTAAATTGTTCAAGGAATCACATGTAATTCTATATTTACTAAAAAGATTTAGTTAGTATAAAAAATGCCGATTTTTCATGTTGAAAAATTTTATCTCCTTAAGAAATTGGAAACAATAGAAGGTAAGTTACTTTCCCTCTTTGGATGCGATCTTGTAGGAGAGAAACCATATATATAAAAAGGAATTCTCTATCTCATTCTTTAATCTTCTCTGTTTCTCTTCCTCTTTTCCTCCTCCTTCTCTCCCTATCTTACTAATTCTTTAAAACTACTTTAACTAAATCTTCCTTTGTTTTCTTTAACATTTAGTATGGACATTCTGGTCTGTATCTATTATTTTGATTCTAATAATTCTCCCCACGTCTTCCTGGTCTCTATCTTTTGGTGTATAGATTAGTGATAGTTAATTGTCTGGAAAGTTCTAAAAAATTCTAAAGAAAAATGCCCCCTCTTTCCTTCTAGAGGCAAAAACAATGTTGACAGGCAATATATACTGTCTCTCACAGCTAAATAATACCATATCAGAATTTCAGAGATATTTAATGTCTGAACAAAACAAACTGACACTTAATATGTAGCCCCATATCTCTCTTTGATTTATTCATTTGTAAACTTCCCAAAGAAAGGAGCCATGTGCTCTGCATTTGTTTCTAACATTGACTAGTGTAGTGATAGGAACATAGATCATTAATTTGTTCATTAATTGGTTGATGGAAACCAGTGAAAATCAAGTATGGGATAGTGTGCTTTAGAGAAACAGTCCCTTTCAATGATCCCTTAAGAATTCTATTTATTTTTATGGTTTTAATTTTTCTAAATGTCGCCATTCTGAATAGAATATATATTAATTTAAATCATATATATTTTTATTCATATTCTTCTTCCCGAGGAGCAGCTCTGATTTCTTTCTTTCTTTCTTTAGGCTCTGTATAATCAATATATATATAGCAATATATATTCCAAGAGAATACCTAGGTTGGTATACACACACACACACGCATTATTATAACATGTAATATAATCATATCGTATTATAATTTATAATTAATGTCATTATTACCATTATATTATATGGTAATCTTATAACAATATTATGTAGTTACTGAATTTATGAAACACTTTTCAGGCTTTATACAATTATATTTAATCAACAAGAATAAGTCTATTTATAATTATGTGTAGTTTGCTAAATCAATATCACAAGATATGAAAATTATGTCATTAGTTTGCTAAATTAATATCACAATAAAAGTGAAAACACATAATTTACTGATACATAAAAGCAGCCACCTACAGTCTTGATCTTGAATATCTATTATTTTTTTATTTTACTTTGAGAAGTGTCATGTGACACTGTCTAGAATAGTATTGCAGCAACTGTCTTAATTGTTTTAGGTGAGTGTAAGGTACTCAAAGTACAATACCACATTTCCTAATAGAGATTATGAACATACCAAACTCAATTAGCTGCTATTTTCAATAAACTGAAATCTCCTCTCTTCAAATTAAAACTCTTGATGGTTATTATAAATACTAGAATAGTTGAAAGTTGAAAAGGACCAGGTTGATGAAATTACATGAGATTATAGAATTTATCAGTGAAAAGGTACTTCACATCATTTGCAGAGCAAATCAAATGTAGATTTTAGGTAAGTCCTCTCAAACTCTTCCATTTCAACTGAGTGCTGTAAATAGACAGTATTTAATATTTTTAATGCTCAAAAAAGTGTCATTGTTATATTAAGTCAAGAATTACAAATGCAGTGCTAATGTTTTCTGAATCAAAATATTGGCAATGTGATCTGAAAATTACCTGCATATATATGAGAAAAAGAAGGCAAACATCTGAAATGAGACTGTTATGAAAATCCAGGTATGTGGTTGCTATAGTTTATGGGATTGTTTGCCTTATCAAGGCCTACCATGTTTATAGTTGCAGCACTAATATTGAATCCGAATTATGTTTTGTCCACAGTTGCATGTTGGCTATATTTTTTGATTCTCCACTGTTGCTCTCCAAAACCAAAATGTAACAAAACCCCTGAAAACTAGCATATTTTAGGCCAAAAGTAATATCTTGATGTATTCAAAATACAATTTTATTTATCCATTTTTTTTAAAGATTTTATTTATTTATTCATGAGAGACAGAGAGAGATGCAGACATAGGCAGAAGAAGCAGGCTCCCCGCAAGGAGTTCAATGTGGCACTCGATCCCAGATCCTGGAATCACGCCCTGAGCCAAAGACAGACGCTTAACCACTGAACCACCCAGGTGTCCCTTAAGATACAATTTTAAAACTTCATTGAATAAAGGAAACACATGACATAGTGTATATTCGGCAGATGTTTGGGATGGCAACTTCCCGATGGCTCATTTCAACGACATTGTATTGGAAAACCAGTGTCAGTTATTTGTATTATAGAACAAATCTCACTACATCCTAAATATATGATTTAGGGAAAATCATTTAAATTCTTTGTGGTTTTCTCTATCTTTAAAGGCGTCATTACTATTACTATTTTTAAACTTATTTTTTTTAAGATTTATTTATTTTTCTTGGAGTGTGAGCACAGGGGGAGAGGCAGAGGAGAGGAGAGAGCAGATTCCCTGCTGAGCAGGGAGCCTGCGGGGGGGGGGGGGTCTCCATCTCACAGCCCCGAGTTAATGACCCAAGCCAAAATCAAGAGTTGGGTGCTTAACCAACTGAGCCATCCAGACTCCCCAGTCATAATTATTTAGAATATCTATAATGTGAGGAAGAGTGACAGGTACTTTGAGATCTAAGGTAAGTCAAAATAAGAAATAAATATGGATTAAAAGAAGTTTGAAAACTCAGGTTGTAACATCCAATATAGATTATTTTATTTTATTTTTTTTTAAATTTTTTTTATTTATTATTTATGATAGTCACACACAGAGAGAGAGAGAGAGAGAGAGGCAGAGACACAGGCAGAGGGAGAAGCAGGCTCCATGCACCAGGAGCCCGACGTGGGATTCGATCCCGGGTCTCCAGGATCGCGCCCTGGGCCAAAGGCAGGCGCCAAACCGCTGCGCCACCCAGGGATCCCTAGATTATTTTATTATTAAATCTCTACTCTGTATATATATCATAGTCAAGAAAAAAATAAAATCAAAGAATAGTTATTATTTATTCCAATGTGAAGGTTTTTGAAACAAAGCAGTTTCTCTTATTGTTTTCAAATGCATGAAATTTGACAACTGTTATTTCCCCCATCAGAGGAGATTTTCAATGATCTTTGTAAATGTGTAAACACACCTGGATTGGCTGGATGTCATGAGGTACGATTAACGTGCAGTAGCAGCAATTTGCAAACATGGAAGAGAGACAGTACAGGGTAAGTTAATAAGGAATGTGGGGATAAGAGTGAATACCTGTTTTTTAAAAAAAAGATCAGAACCAAATTGTCCTTTCTTTCTGCTTTTTGTGGTTAAGTGCACTGCCAGGTTACTGACTAGGAAAAGTAGGAAAAATTAGAATACCTTTTTAAAGAATTGAATGAAGATCAGTTAAAGTGAAGCCATGTAAGTTGTATAGCATGATGATATTGTGGCTCTTGATATTGTGGCTATTTCCTATGTTTTTCTTACAATTATTTCTCTGTATATTCTTTTTATTGCTATCCTGGCCTAAAGATCTTTGAATTCAGGACCCATGTTTTATATTTTGTCATCTCTGAGGCACAATATTTATACACAATTTATTAGCTTGATATTATGGTAACTGATGACTTTGTTTATGTAACTACTGCATTATTATGCAAGCAATACTTTGGTAACACGTTTGTTTACTTCTTTCTTGTTGCTGTTTAAGATCATGAACATACAAACTATAGCGGGAGACTAAGATTGATTTTGATAAACTATCCAAATGGAATCTACAGTAAACCATTCTAGCGCAATATACTTCAGTAAATTCCTTGCACAAAAATGTCATTGTTCTTCTTATATTACTCTGGTATCAGTCTAAACATATAACAAGGAGAAATTAAAGCCTTTTTAAGGGAATGTTTGGTTCTAATTCACCCATCTTGAAGACTCCCCTAAATATCTGCTGGGCAAGTCCAATGACCCAAAACTTGAATTTAAAAAATAAAGCAGGTGTATTTATAGATTTTAAACTTTGTTTTATTATTTTGTCTTTAAGAAGAGTAAGAACATTGTGGAAGGTAATTAAAATCATACAGACAGTATTGGTTTTTTATATGTAGACTTTGAAATTCTTTGAATATTCTATTACAAACCACTAATATTAGTAAATAGAGAAAATTAACATACAGAATTCTTGTCACTAAATATTTGAAGGGATACTTTTTCTTTTAAGTGTCAGCTAAACAAGTCGGAGAAAGAGCAAGACTTCTTAAATCTCTGAACGAAACCGCAGTGTAGAACCTTTCATTTTCTTTTCATAATCTTTTTCAAATCTTTCATACTGGGCTACGGTGAATTGGTTTTTCCAATCTCCTGAAATACCTGAAAAGAAAGATAAAATGTACATTTGAGACTACTATAAAATTTCCTTAGATCAGTTTTCGTTTGAATTACCACACGTGTATTTTTAATCTTCAACGTTTTCATATCCATTTCATTACTCCATCCTTTCAAACTCTAGGGCCTTCTTAGTTTTCTAAAAATCCCCATGGATTTTTTCCAGTATCATATATAAAGAAGTAATCCCTTCAATAGTTTCAAGAAATGTCACTGGGAGAAAATCCAATGTCTCAAAATCTTTATTTTTTGGCCCTAAGAGCTTTGTTAACAAAAAAAGAGATAATTTTTCAGTCCTTTTAAAACTATATTTTCCAATGTTAAGTGATAATTTATGAAAAAATTTCTATGATCAAGTAAGATTTGGAAATGACTGGGTTAAATGTAATTAAACATATTGTGTTATTACAAGATTGCTCAGTCTTCAAAAGACTAACCATATCTAAAACCTTTAAGGAAAGACAAGGGACATAGTATTTGCAAAGAATATCTGATAAAAACAATGGCATTTCTCACAGGTAATCCAGAATTCATTTGCAAGCCTAGTTTTAGGGAGAAAAAAAGGAGTGGGGGAGAAAATATGGCAAAATAACTTTGTTCATCTGTCCCAGGATTTCTCAACTTTGGCATTTTATTTTATTTGTTTATATTTCCACTGTTGACATTCAAAGCCAGACAACTGGCTGGGTGGATGTGGGAGCTGCTCTGTGTATTATTGTGTGTTTTCAGCAGGATTCTCAGCCTGTACCCATTAAATTCCTATAGCATACCCTTAGTCAGAACTATCAAAAATGTCTTTGGATGTTGTCAAACATTCCCTGGGAGGCAAAATCATACCTGGCTGAGATCCAAATATTCCTAAAATATTCCTAGAAAGACTTACCCATGGCATACTTTCTAACTTTCTAAAAAAAAAAAAAAAAAAAAAAAAAACCTCTGGGATGCACAAAGATACATCATAATTAATGAAATTACCCTTAATTGTCCCTATATAAGTTCTTACCAAAGTACTTGTTTCTCCAAAATTATCTTAGATTATATTAATAATTTTCCACTCTCTACTGTAAGATTTTATACCTCTGCTCACTGACATGTGTTGTATGACTCCTCTCTGCCTCATTAACTTTGGGCTTCAATTTTTCTTTTGCTTTGGTTAATAGAATTTGAATATGTGCAATATATACCACATCTAAATAGCAACTTTAAAGGCATTGTAAGTTTCCAACACCTCTTTTGTTTTCCTGTCTACTAGAATATTGGGCATATCCCACAAATGGGTAGCTTTTTCAGCCTGGATTTCAGAAAGAGAAGACATAAGAAACTGAGACCATGAAAACCAAGTAAAACTGAACAGATTCAAAAGAATAAGCAAAACTGATGTATGGCCCACATTCACCAACATTAAACAAAAAATAAAACTTGTGGTTTTAAGCCACTGAGATTCTTGAAGTCCTTTTTTTTTTTTTTCTTTTTTTTCTTTTTAAGTTTCAGGGATGCCTAGGTTGTCAGTTAAAGTGTCTACCTTCATTTTAGGTCATAATCCCAGGGTCCTAGGATGAAGCCCCACATCAGGCTTCCTGCTTAGTAGAGAGCCTGCTTCTCCCTATCCACCCTGCTCATGCTCTTTCTCTCTCTCTCTCAAATAAATAAAATCTTAAAAAATAAAAATAAAAAAAGATTTCATTTACTTATTTGAGAGAACAAGAGAAGAACAAGCAGGGGGAGAGGCAGAGGAAAAGGGACAAGCAAGCTCCCCACTGAACAGAGAGCTTGATGCAGGACTCCATCCCAGAACCCTGGGATCATAACCTGAGCAAAGGCAGATGCTTAACTGACTGAGCCACTCAGGTGCCCCTTGGAGTTGTTTGTTTCACAGCAGAGCTAAAACATACATAAGTAACAGAATCTATGCTTCTCTCTCTCTCAACATGCAATTCAATTTAACATATTTTTATTGAGTGACTATTTTTGCAAGATGCTAGTTATATATACGTTGAGATAATGCTAGAGATGCAATGATTTACCATATCATAGCAACAACCTCAAGGAATTGACACTTTTCATCATTCACTTGGTATGCCTAACATCATTTAAGCTGACTACTCACCACAGCAAAAATTTTAAGGAATATGAAGAATACTTAGAGAGTTCAGACAAATGAAAGGCGTTCTTCTGATATAGCAAAGGAGGCCAAGACTCATGCTTATCAATGCATCAGCTCTTGAGTAAACATTTCTCCTTAGAAGGTTTGTCTTACATGTTAGACTTATAGAAATTATAGTTTATTTGCCACAAATTATTTCCCCTAAGTTTTTTTTTGTTCCTAATTTTTTTTTTTTTAATTTTTTTTTTATTTATCTATGATAGTCACAGAGAGAGAGGCAGAGACACAGGCAGAGGGAGAAGCAGGCTCCACGCACCGGAAGCCCGACGCGGGATTCGATCCCGGGTCTCCAGGATCGCGCCCTGGGCCAAAGGCAGGCGCCAAACCGCTGCGCCACCCAGGGATCCCTTTTGTTCCTAATTTACTTTTTTCTTGCCAGCATACTCAATCTCTTTCCATTTCCTATAATATGGCTATACTCTCCATGACTGTAATTAGCAAGCTGTATAGAAACTAGTATATGATTTCTCACCCTTTCTCATGAAAGGAGATACAGAATGATCCATATCAAAATCTGGTACAGTGGTATAATTTGTACTTGGATTCTGTTTCATCACATTGAAAGAGCTGTGATAGAGGATTTTATCCACAGTTTCTTCTGACAAATCTTTCTCTAGAAACTGTAACAACTTCTGAATTTCATGTTTTGGATCCTAAAAAAAATATAAAGAGAAAGAATTATTTCAGAGAGATTTAATCATAAAATAGGCAATGCATTTAATAAAGTTCTACATATGTCAATGTGGTAAAGGAAATTATTTTATATTTTTATGTGCACTTTTTATTTTGCATTCCAAAGTACATGTCCTAGTCTTGGCCAGGCAATCATCTGCTAAAAAGAAGAGTAAATTTTGTTTGTTTTTTTTTTCTTTCTCAAATTTTTAAATTTAAATTCTAGTTAGTTAATATATAGTGTAACATTGGTTTCAGGAATAGGATTTGGTGATGCATCTCTTACATATAATACCCAGTGCTCGGGATCCCTGGGTGGCGCAGCAGTTTAGCGCCTGCCTTTGGCCCAGGGCGCGATCCTGGAGACCCGGGATCGAATCCCACATCGGGCTCCCGGTGCATGGAGCCTGTTTCTCCCTCTGCCTATGTCTCTGCCTCTTTCTCTCTCTCTCTCTCTGCGACTATCATAAATAAATAAAAATTAAAAAAAAAAAACTTAAAAAAAATACCCAGCGGTCATCATAGCAAGCGCTCTCCTTCATACCCATAATTTTGTTTCAAAAAATGCAGAAAAATGGGTTAATATTCAATCTTTCACACTCAAAAATATAATTAATCTGTAGAATAACAAGTGGTAATAAAGCAAACTACTATTATTATAAGGTATAATCTTCAAAATCCTTGATCTCCTTTTTAAAATCATACCTAATATCAAGAATAGATTACCTACCAAAAATGTTTTTTTAAAGATTTTATTTATTTATTTATTTATTTATTTATTTATTTATTTATTTATGAGAGAGAGAGAGAAGAGAGAGAAAGAACACGAGCAGAGGGGGTGGGTGGTGAGGTGCATAGGGAGAGGGAGAAGTAGGCTCCCAGCTAAGCAGGGAGCTGGATCCTGGGCCCAAGACCTGAGCCTAAGGCATAATCGACTGAGCCACCCAAGCACTCCTATCCACCAAGCATTTAAAAAATACTCATCCTTCTTAAACTCTTCCAAAAAGTAGAAGGAGTAATATTTCTAAACCCACTTTACAAGGCCAGCATTACTCATATACTCAAACCAGATGAGAATAACACAAGAAAATAGCAGATTAACATTTTTGGTAAAAATCAATGCAAAAATCCTGGACAAAATATTAGCAAACAAAATTTAACAGCACATTTAAAGGTTTTAATCCGTGATCAAATGGGATTTACCCCAGTGATGCAAAAATTGTTGAACATTAGCAAATCAATCAATGTGATAGACGATATTAACAAAATGAAGGGTGTAAATCATATGGTCATTTCAAAAGATGCAGAAAAAGCATTTGGCAAAATTCAACATCAATTTATGATAGAAACTCTCAACAAAATGGTGTAGAGGGAATATACCACAATTATGAAGGCCGTATATGACAAGCCCACAACTAATATACTCCATAATGAAGAGCTGAAAGCTTTTCCTCTAAGATCAGGAACTGCAGTCAACAATAACCGTAGTTAACAAACAATGCTGCATCGTATATTTGAAAGCTGCTTAAAGAGTAGATGTTAAAAGTTCTCATCACAAGGAAAAAATAACCACGTATGGTGATGGATATCAGCTAGAATTACTGTGATCTTTTCATAATATATACATATATTGAATCATTAGATTGTTAATATTATGTTATATATCAATTATGGCACAATTTAAAAAAACAGATTATCTCAGAGTTATAGTGGAAAGAAAATACTCTTTCTATCTCTCCCTCCTACCTAGATTTTTTGATAGTATAAATATATGAGGAGGAAAGTAAACAAAATCCTGTCCATTTCCAGCCTAAGGAGTGGTATGGAAGAAAGAGGCAACAATGAAAAGGAGAGATACATTTGATGTATTCCTTATGATTTCCATTCTCTGTGCTCCAGACTCCATAGGATACCTTGTAAGAATAGTGAAAAAGTAGCATTCAGACCAAATAGTTTGTGCCTGTTACCCACTACAGAGATGATCTTCTTGATGGTCCAAATCAAACTGAGGCTGAAAGCCGTAATCTTAGTGACCTCATGAAATCAGGCAGAAAAGCAATCTGTTTAGGTTTATTGAGCTACCCATCTCAATTCATGGAAACAGAATCAGAGAATTTCTGTAGTGGCTCTAAAATAATCTATTTCTTGTATAAGCAGAAATAAACTTGGTGGAGATCAGCACACATCTTATTCAAAGAGAAGAATCACAGTGAAAATTGAAGTCCAAAATGTGTCAAGTCTATCCTGTGAAAGTTAAATGAAAGTGATGGGAAAAATGTACACCATTCAGGCTTGGAATGGGAATATTTGGGATGGATTTGATGGCACAGAGACTCTGGAACTCTTGAGTAATTTTGAGCCTCTCCACCCATATTTAAGGAGACTAAACTTCTTTTGCTTAAAGACCTTATTATGATCTAACGTGGGAGGTTTTCTGTCCTGATAACACCTATCCTCTCCGAGATCCACCCCACCCACCCCCCTTGTTGCTTCAAGACACATAATTTGAGTAATTGGTCACCCTTTAATCCAGAGTGATGGGTAAAAACTGGTTTAAACAGGATGTAGAAGAAACTGGGAATCTAATGAATCTGCCAGAGGGGGTCACTTTAGCTGGGTAAGGCAATTTCCCTAGAGGCCATAGAACAGATTTCCCAAATAAGAGATGAAGGGTAGTCATAGTTATCTAAAGGAATTTAGGTGTGAACAAGCTTCCTGAAACACATTCAACCTAAGAAATGCAGAACATTTCTTAACTGGACTATTTGAATAATCAGATCAGGATAAGTTTTTGATCAAATTGGAGAATGAATTAATTTTCACACTAATAACCAGATAGAAGATGAAAAAATAAAAACTAGATGTCTTATAAATTAAATTACAGGTTTTCTCTACTGTGCTTACCCCTTGGGGAAACAATCACAAATAAAATCATTTTAATCCCTACATCCAAGGAGCTTACATTATATTAGAGTAGGGCAAGAAAACATAAGAAACACATATGTCAAATAATGAGTGGTAGTAAATGATATGAAAAGAACAATAACAAAAGAGATTTTAACAGATAATAATAAGGTGGATTATTTGACATTATGGACATGAAAGAACTCTGGAGTGTTAACATTTAAGTTAAGACATGAAGGATGAGAAAAAGATAATTTGAAAATAGTGGGAAAAAATATTTCAGGCAGGCTCACTTAGTAAGAAAAGGAAAAGTGACAACAGAAGAGGTTGGAGAGATAGGCACTAAATAATGCTGAACTTTAAATTATCTTAATGATTTTGTATTTCACGTAGAAACAGAAATCATTGACAGATTTGAAGAAGTGGGCATACTCTCATTTAGATTTCCAGATAATTTTCTCTGAGTGGACAATAGAAGCAAAATGAGGTACTTCAAATAAGATAGTTGCCTGAACTAGAGCAAGAGGCAGTAGTGATACAAAGAAAGATGAATCTGAGGTTTCCCCCCAAAATTAAAAAAAATTATAGTTGCCTCTTACCTCTTTCATGTCTTCATAAAATAGGTAAAAGATACGATAATCTTTCCTCTTCTCCCACCAGCCCTTCACATGGTCATACCAAGAACCAAAAGCCACTAAATTGAAAGACACAGTGTTTGGAAAATTAAAACTATTTATGTAAAGAATTGTTAAATATTATTCCAAGTCATTATTATCAACCCAAACACACTTATTAGTTCACGAAAGAGGGATGGTAGGATAATTAACCCTGTTCTCATTGAATTTGTAATCTATTTAGGAGGGAGTGGCAGGGAAGTTCATAGAAGAAGGAGAAAGGGAGAGAAAATCATAGAGATGAAGAAGTTAATGAAAGGCTGTGGGGGAAGAGAGTGTATTTGGGTCTAAGAAGAAGAATTAGGTTTTGATAATGATAAGAGTGAGTAGACATTCCATGGACAGATAATAGTCCAAGTAGCAACAGGAGTAAAGGTTTGCAAGATATCATTGAGATGTTCTTGCCTTGAAAAGAGTTTTTAATAAAAGAATGTTTATATGAGAATTTTAAGTAGAGCTACTACTATTGACATAAATGTTTTCCTGAAAGAAAGAATACAAAGGTAGAGAAACAGAGCCTTGAGGCTAAAATCATCACCCTAGAATTTTCGGTTTACATAGTAAAAATAAGGGAATGGTAAAGAAAAGAGAATCCAAGAAATATGTATAAAATCAAAACAATACAACAGACGCACAGCAAGAGAAGAAAAGTTGTCACTAAGCACTAATGAAACAATAAGACTAAAAACTGAAATATCTGTGTTCACGTTTCCCAGAAGTTCTTTTTTTTTTTTTTTAAGATTTTATTTATTCATGAGAGACAGAGAGGCAGAGACATAGGCAGAGGGAGAAGTAAGCTCTTCACCCGGAGTCCAATGCGGGAATCCTGGAATACACGCCCTGAGCTAAAGATAGATGCCCAACCGCTGATCCACCCACGCGTTCCTCCCAAAAGTTCTTAAAAGGAAGACACAACTATATATTCTGCTTCCTCTATAGTCTACCTAATACATTGGTGGAGTGCTAGGCAAATATTAGGTTTATAATAAACTCAGATTTATGTTTAACTGTTCTATCTCCTGGCAAAAAGACTTTTCACTATAGAACTCCTTGATTAAAGTAAGAGTTGAACCTACCCTTCCCAGTCATGAATTTTTCCAGGAATTCCTCCCAGGTGCCAGCCTCTGGGTGTATTTTTGCCATCTGGTAGAAATAATAGTAAGATACAGCCACATCTTTAGCATTTCGTGCAACATACACCATCTGTGGGGAGATACGGCAATCGTCATTTCATTTATATTATTTAATAGTTGGTAAACTTTTGCTTATCTTGCAAGAATGCTGATTATTTCTTTTCTATTTCCTGATCTCAGCATTTACATGTATATCCTGACATGGAATATTCACGATTATATATCATTTTAACATAAGACTTGTACTTTCACACCCTGTTTCTCTTCAGCCTTTGAAAAGAACATCTCAAAACACAGAAAACCAAATAATTACAATAAACATCAAAGTAACAAAAATGAGCTAATATTGTTCTTAAATTTAGAATTTTTGTATATCACTTATTAAGACATGTAAAAAGAAACATAAAAGTTACAAAACATGAAAAAGATAAACATTATTTTATTTTTAATTTTGTTTTTGTTATTACTTTTCTTTAGAGGAGGGATAAAGAGAAGGTAAGGGGGAGCAGGAGAGGGACAGAGAGAGTCCCAAGCAGGTTTCACACCCAACACAGAGCCCAATGCTGGACTCAATCTCAAGACCATGAGATCATGACCTGAGCTGAAATCAAGAGTTGAAACCTTAACTGACTGAGCCACCTAGGTATCCCTAAAGTAAAACTTTTAAAGCTGAAAAAAAGTCTTATTTTTAACTGAAAATAAATTATAATTTGGGTACATTTAATCAACAAATATTAAACATTCTTCATTCTGTTCATGACCATGGCTACATACCAATTATTGCTGTTTATAATTTTGTGTGAGATTAAAATTTACTTTATGCATAGAGCCTTAAATCTTTTTGAAAACAGAAATTTTGAACATATTTTCCAATAGAAATGACATTGCTATGTCTTAGTGGTAATTAGGTTTTCAGGCAAGTCCACTGAAATCCATTAAGCTTACTTCTTATACCATATGACATACACTGCAGAGATCACTGACATATTAAACCATTGCATAATATGGGCAAAGGAAAGTGACTGGCAAGAAGACAAAGCCCAATGGTATTCATGAAAATTAAACAAGATAACATACTCAGATTGCAGAGGATGTCTTATTTGTGTTTGTATTTATAATGACAATTACAATATCTGGTACATACACAGTAGCACTTCTATAAATGTTTATTGATTATGTACTTATTAAAGAATTTCGCTTACAGGAAGCTAAAACAGAATTCCAATGGAATTCCAAGGAGAAATTTAAGAAAATATAGTCAGATTTCAACATCCTTCTCTCTATAGCTGATAGAAAAATATGAAAAATGAGAAAGTGACATTAGTACAGATTTTGCTTATATGAGAAGAATTTTAAAGGAATATCATGAACAACTTTATTACAAAAATTTAACAGTTTAAGTGAAATGGATCAAGTCTTTAAAATGCATAAACTACAAAAGAGCATGCAAGGAAAAATACATGATCTGAATAATGAAAGACATTGAAGAACATGGAAGACATAAATATTTATATGAAAGACATTGAATTTGTGGTTACAAATCTTTTCAGATGAAGAAAATTCCAGGCCTAGATTGCTTTGCTGGTGAATTGAACAAAATATTAAGAATGAAACAGTACCAATTCCAACCCAATACTTCCAGTAAATTGAAACAGGAATAAATACCTTCCAACTCATTTAATGAAGCCAGAATTACTCTAATACCAAAGAGATTATTCTCTAATGATTAAGATATTACAATGGAAAGAAAGTACAGGTCCATATCTCCCAAAGACACAAATTATTTTAAAAATCAGCAAATTGGCCCCAGTAATATATAAAAGACAACTATTTTTTTTAATTTTTATTTATTTATGATAGTCACAGAGAGAGAGAGAGAGAGAGAGAGAGAGAGGCAGAGACATAGGCAGAGGAAGAAGCAGGCTCCATGCACCGGGAGCCCGACGTGGGATTCGATCCCGGGTAAAAGACAACTATTAACACATATCATAAATTAATACAAACAATAATTAAATAAAAGGTGTGAAAGATTGTTTTAACATTTCAAAGTCAACTGACATAACTAATCATAGTAACAGACTAAAATAATGGAAAATCATATGATTGGTCTTAATAGACACAGAAAAAAACATTAGACAAAATCCAATATGTATTCCTGTTAAAAACTCAGCAAAGTAAGAATAGAACAGAACTTCCTCAGTTAGGTCAGTGGAATATACAAAAAACCTCTAGGTGACATCACCATATGAATATTCCTTAAGATCAAGGGCAAGACAAGAGCATCTCCTCACTCCTATTCAGTATTATATTAGATGTTCTATCCAGTTCAATAAGTCAAGAAAAATAAGTAAAAAGCATCCAGATTAGGAAAAAAGAAGTAAGAATATTTCGTATTTTTTTTTAAAAAGCATGAACATCTATGTAGAACAATGAATTGGATCTACCAAAAAAAAAATCTGTTAGGTCTATTATGTGAATTTAGCAAGTTCACAGGATAAAAGATTTAGTTGTCCATATGCTAGTAATAAACATTCAGAAAATAGTGTGTTTGTGTGTGTGTGCATGAAAAAGAGAGAGAGGAAAAGAGAGATTACTATTATATCAGAAAATTTTAATTTTTTTTTTATTATTTATTTATGATAGTCATACAGAGAGAGAGAGAGAGAGAGAGGCAGAGACACAGGCAGAGGGAGAAGCAGGCTCCATGCACCGGGAGCCCGACGTGGGATTCGATCCTGGGTCTCCAGGATCGCGCCCTGGGCCAAAGGCAGGCGCCAAACCACTGCGCCACCCAGGGATCCCTATATCAGAAAATTTTAAAAAGTACATTGATACTTATAGATATTAAATAGATTCTTAGATCTAACATGATAACCGAAACAATAAAGCCAATAGAAGTAAACAGAAGTGGGAATATCTTCATAACTTTGGGGAAGGCATTTTTTAAACAAATACACACCAAAAAATAGAAAATAAAGGAAAAACTGATATAATGACCAACATCAAAATTAAGAATTTTTAAAAGAAGTTAAGAAAGTAAAAAAAAGGAAAAATAGAATGAATTAAGATATAAAATGTCCAATGATTTCATCAAAGGAATTGTACCAGAATATATAAGAATTTCTACCTTACTAATAGAAGAAAAGTAGCCCTTACAGGAAAAAAGTCATGGCACTTGAAGAGATACCTCGGAGAAGGTATCTAAGCTATGTAAAAGTCCTTTAATTATTAGTCATTAGGGAAATACAAAGAAAACCACAATGAAATGCCACCATACATCTACTAGTATGTCTAAAAGTAAATATTTGTAGCTATATGTTTGTTAATGAGGATATAGAGTAAACTCTCACACTACTGGTCAAAGTTTAAATTGATCCAAGTGATTTGAAAAGATATTTGAAAATATCAAACTCAGCAAAGTCTTAGATCGCCTAAAGCTGGACAAATGGACACCTTAGTTCCATTCCAAGATATAAAACCAAGAGAAATATGTATATGTATGTGTATGTGTAATGGAAACTTATATAAGAATGTGCATTGAAGTACTTTTTTAATTACTGACAACAGCAACCACCCAACTGTCCACCAATAATAGTACTGTGGGTAAGTAGGTCGTGAAATATTCAAGTAGGCATAATGGAATGCCTTATATCAGTGGTTTTCAAACATTATCATGGCTCAAAATTCACCTAGAGGTTTTATTAAAACTCAGATCTGAACCTCACCCCACAGTCTTTGATTCGGTAGTCTGAATTTAGCCTGAGATTTGCTTCTCTAACCTGCTATTTTTGCTCAGGGTACCACATTTTGTGATCCAGCAGGTTACATTAAAAAAAAAAAAAAACAAAGTTACAAGAATAAGAATTGATCTAATAAATATTATGTTCAATGAAATAAATTAAATATTCAAGATTATATATATTTTCCTATTACAAACAAAATTGGCAAACTAATTTATGGTAAAAACCTCAGGATAGTAGTTATCTTTGAAGATAGGGATTGTTGCCAGAATGTGAAAAAAACAGAGCTTTTGCGTGGCTGGTAATGTTCTATTTCTTTTCTTTTCTTTTTTTTTAATTTATGATAGTCACACACACACACACACACACACAGAGGCAGAGACACAGGCAGAGGGAGAAGCAGGCTCCATGCACCGGGAGCCCGATGCGGGACTCGATCCCGGGTCTCCAGGATCGTGCCCTGGGCCAAAGGCAGGCGCCAAACCGCTGCACCACCCAGGGATCCCTAATGTTCTATTTCTTGATCTGGGTGCTGGTTTCATGGATACACTCACTTTGTAAAAATTCATCAAGATGTGTGCCTAGGATTTATGTGCATTTTTCCATAAATGTTATACTTGAATTAAAATGGTTATTTCAAAAAGAAGACTAAAACAAATCCACTTACATATAATTATAAATCCATATTTATAAATTATAATTATATTGAATTCATGAGGAAGCATTTCTAGTATTATTTAAATAATTAAATTAAATATTTAAAAGTAGATACTGAGTGAAGAGATTTTGATAGAAAGAGAAATTTTAGAGAACAGAAAACCTAGAGATAATCAGTGCTTGGGCACTAAGTCTATATCTATATATCTATCGCACTGGTCTCCAATGGTATTATTTCAACCATTGGATGTAGAGACCACATCATTATTTTTGGCATGCTTTATCCAGAGGTGGGAATCTCCCATCATAATTTCTGCATGATGAGTAAAAGAAATTTCAACACAAATAAGGATTTCTTTTTTTTTTTTTTAACTTGCTACCTTGCAGTTATTCTTCCAAAATGAAGAAGGGAGAAGTTGAACAGGTAGGTGTGTTTTCACTAATCTAGGAGGCTGCATTTTTTTCAAGTCCTCTATACCTGCAAGAACAAAAGTTAAATTCTATTATAAATGTGGAATCACAAAGGTCAATTACAATATAATCTAAGGCTTTGTAAACATTAACCCCACTATATGGCTTGAAATGACTATATAGCGTTGGAGATTTATAATATCTATAACAAGATAAAAAAATGATAAATTCTGGTTAGTTATGCTGTTTTATTTTCTATGCATAGAAAATGTATGTATATGTATGTTTTATTTTCTATGTATAACAGACAATAACTGTAAAATCATATGTATATATATAACATATTTAATGGGCCAGGCTCCCAGGCAGCCAGCCTCATATATAATGTCTTGCTGAAGTAGAAACATCAATAGGCCAATGTCAAGACATCAAAATTTTCCTTCATTTATCTTCTCTTGTACTCATTTACAATATGAGGAAATTGAACTAGAATATTTCAAAATCCCTTTCCAGCTTTCTTTATTTAATTTATAAGATCAAACTAAGCCATAAGGTTAATAACTAATCCTTAAAATTTTAATAATGCAAGACAACCCATAATTCTGTTTCTCAAGTCTGTGAATATCAACTAATAAGCAGTAGACATGATCTTATTCTGGAACAAACATTGAATTTTCTGTATATAATGATTGTACATTTAAATGCTGAAGACTTCCACCTGTGCTATTAAGAAAAAAATACACTCATCAAAATTTTCTCTTATGCAGATATTGTCTTTGAGTGTAAGAGGCATATAATATGGTTATTAGTAGAATCAAGGTCTTCTTCTATTATAGACATTTATGATTCAAATGTCCAAGGTCTGTCTATATCAATTCCATCATGACTCCTCTTGTCACCACAAAATGTTAGGGGGATTTATTCCTATGATGAAAAGGAACATTCAGGGAAAATACCATTCTCGAATCCAGGAATTATCAATTCCATGAACGGCACTCGTTTGTATATTGCATCCCGCTTACATTTCTCCGCATCTCCATTGTTATAGATCAAATCCAATATTTCGCTGACCCAGGTTGTCCCTAAAGGAAAAAAAAAAATGGAACACCTTTAAACTTTTCTGTAAAAAAGAGTATAAGAGGGTCAATATATGTAGAGAAGTTGTATAATATCAAAAACAAAAGTGTGGTCTTCCTTTCCATTCTCTTTTTCCAATGAGACATTTTTATCTATCTTGAACGTATACATATGTATTGTGTATGTGTGAATGTGAGAGTAAATTTGATTAAAATAATCATAAAGTTAAGCCATAATAAGGAAGTAAAACATGGGTAATTTAAGAGACAGTGTATAAATCATGTAGCACACCCTCCTGAGTGGAATGGAGAAGGAAGAGGTGGATTTCAATTGGTCCGACTAGCAATTTGTAAATTTCTTATTAATATTAAAAATATTATTAGACTTTAGGATTGAAGAGTATTTGAGGGGAAAAAACATTTGGTGGAGGTGTGAAAAAAGGATAAAAAGAGAACTTTGTGATGCATTTGTGATGAATAGTGTGTTATTCACAAACATAAGACAGTAGATCGTTAAGTGGATGGAGTCACTCTGGTCTTTATAAGATTGTGTCTCATTAATCTTGAGAAAGGTATTCAAAATACAGATAGCCCCACACTTACAATAGTTCAACTTACAATTTTTAAACTTCACAATGATGTGAAATTCAAGTGTTTAGTAGAAATGACCTTTGAATTTCAAATTTTGATCTTCTTCTGGGCTAGTGATAAGCAATATGAAGCTCTCTCTCTCGTGATGCTGCGTTGCAGCTCCCAGGCAGCCAGACAATAATGAGGGCAAACAATGGAAACCTTATAACCAGTCTATACCACATAATCACTCTTTTTCTCACTTATGGTATAGTATTCAATAGATTACATGAGATATTCAGCACTTTATTTTAAAATAGACTTTGTGTTAGATAATTTTGCCCAATTGCAAGCTAATGTCAGTGTTCTGAGCACATTTAAGGTAGGCTAGGCTAAGCTATGATGTTCACTATTAAATACATTTTCCACTTATAAGTTTATAGAGAGATAATATCATCATAAATCTCTATATAAGAATATGGCCTATTTGACTTCCTACAGTATTCAATGATCAGGTTATTGATGCTGGGCTAAAAAAGCAATTAAAAGATAGGAGGAAAATATATTTTTAACTGTTTCCATCCCTTCCTCTTTACCAAACATGTAATGAATGATAGTCTCTAAATCGAATATTCATGAGTGGAAACTAAAAACTTAAATTAAATAATTAATCTATGCACTGAATAGATATTTGATGAATGACCTGCATAAGCATGTGCCTTTGGATTGGTTCCATAAATTACAGTACTTTAGGCCTCTCTTTTAGTCCTTTCTGATGGACAGTTCTTCCTCCTCATCCTTTCTTTTTTTTAAGACTTTATTTATTCATGAGAGACAAAGAAAGAGAGGCAGAGACATAGGCAGAGGGAGAAGCAGGCTCCCTGTAGGGACCCTGATGTGGGACTTGATCCCAGGGCCACAGGATCATGACCTGAGCCAAGGGGTGGGTGAGCCAAGTACTGAGCCACCCAGGTGCCCCTTCCTTATCCCTAAATCATTAGTATGAGACTATCTCTCTCATCCTTATAACACAGACTATTACAGTGCTAAGAAAAAAGGTGGGTCAAATTGATACTATCCTTGAAGATTTTGTAGTCTGAAGAAAAAGAGACCTATATTCCAAAGTACAGTAGAATACATTTCATTTCCTGTCGGTGGAAGGTTCAAATTGTAGCCACTGAAATCTAATGGAAAGAAATGCCATTTTAGCTATGCTTCAAATTGGAAATGTTGATATTCTGTAATTTTTGCAAAAAAAAAAAAAGCACATGATTTGCCTCATATACGGAGTAAGTTAGCTTGGATCCTTTACAACAAAATTAACAAGGAATTGATATATTAATAACTTTAAGACATGTTCTCAACAGTTAGTAAAAGGAAAAAAAATCAAAGAAAAAAAATGACCACATAATTATTTTATCTGTAGCCATCTAGCCACCTATCTTTTAATACGTCAGAAGAAATCCAGCTTCAAAGAGCACTTTCATAAATGAATTGTTTGTATAATGGTACCTTCCAAAGGTGATTTTAATGGTTTCCTGCTTGCGAACATAATTTTTAAAATAACAACAACAAAAAGAGCATGTGCATTTTTCAGTAGGTGCCTAACAATTTGGGCTTGGTGAATCAGTTCGGAGAGCAATGTAAATAGTAAGAAAGAAAAAAACAAAGCTTTTACCAAAACAAGCTTGTTTTCTATTTCTTCAAAGGTCTGTATTGTACATTTGCTTATTTCCTGATAGGTTTCCTGGAGTATTATAATTTTGATATTACAACCTTCAAAAATTCAGGTGTTTCTTCCCAGGCTTTGTTACATAGCCCTATGTAGTATTTTTAATATTTATAATATAAAAACATTAGTAGTCAATGTACTTATTGAAAACTTCTTGTCCTTAATTCCTTTAAGAAATGAAGCAGAAATATAAAGGAAAGTAGACTTTAGAGAATTTAGCAATTGGAACAGTTGATTGATTAGGAGCTCAAGTAAGTTAATTGGATAAGAGGCAAGAGAAAACCAATTATCGGATATCTCTCTGACCTTTATCACTGGATAAATTAGAAGACTGTCATAAAAAGATCTGGAGAAATAAAAATTATTGATTCTTATTGAGTCATCTTAATTTCTCCTTTCTGAGATCATCTATTGAGGTCAGCAGCTGTTTAACTTTGTAACAAAATATTTCTAAATGCATTTATAAAATAAAAATTTTAAAATAAAATATTAACATTTTACAAAATATATTTAAAATACAATGGATAAAATATGTAAACATTAAAATGCATAGAAGGTATAGGTATATAATTCCAATGTATCCAAATCATCTAAGATATGCAGTTTTAAGAATTTTTATTTGAATTTGAAAAGGAAAATAAAATGACAGCATTAATTTTCCCACAGGTTAGCCCCCATTCATTTGCAGGCCTTTTAAAATAGTCAGTTTATCTGATTTGAGACAAAATTCTCCCAGCAACTGCTACTGCATTCCCTTGACTAATGATTAGAAGATCAGCGGGCTTATATATATGGGTCTATGTGTAAAAGTACGCATCAGTGAGTACAAATAAATAAAAAGATCATACCAGATTTGGGGTAGGTTGAGATCAGAAGGTCATCAGGTCGGGCTTCAAATGACTCCACCTGGGACCACTCCTCAGCAATGCTCCAGAAGAGGGGGACACCCTGAACATCCACTAACTCCCTCCGGTAGATATCCGGCTTCTTGTCCATTTTTCAGAAACTAGATTTTCAACAAAGGGAAGCATGTTAAGAAGTCTTTGTTTTAATAACATTAATAAAAGTAAAAATAAATTGGGGCTCCTGGGTGGCTCAGGTAGTTAAGCATCTGCCTTAGGCTCAGATCATGATCCCAGGGTCCTGGGATAGAGCTCTAAGGCTCCTTGCTGAGTGGGGGAGTCTGTTTCTCCCATTCCCTCTGTCACTCCCCACCCCTGTTCCTGCTGTCTCTCTCTTTCTTCTCTCTTCTCTCAAATAAATAAATGAAATCCTTAAAAAATAGATATTTTATTAAATAAATTAGTTTTATTACTATAGATCCAACAGCGCTAGATCACATTCCTATGCATTAAGAAAGAGTGGAAGAAGGAAGAGTGTCAAAATTAATAAGGTCTCACAGGATTTATTTCATATATGCTGTTTACATGTTAAATATCATCAGCACTTTCCATTGGTCTATTGAATTATAGACATCATTTCCTCAGGCAAAGATTGCTGGGATAGATAATAAAAGCATTGGACTTTGGAGTAAGGGGAGTGTAACCAACGTGCTGCCCGTTCATTGCAAGGGGGGATTTAAACAAGCCCCATAACTGCTCTGGGTCTTCTTAACTGAAAACTGAAGAGTAGCTTAACACAGTACTTCCTTCCTTTAAGTTACTAGCTGTGACAGGTAAATCATTCTATCTAAATTATATGTAACAGACCACAAGGAGGAGACCACAGAGGAAGGGTGGGAAAAAGGCTGGGTAAAAGAAACAAACTGGAGGTAGGTAAAGTATTGGAGATAGAGTGCTCTGATGAACTTTAACACTGGTGACATGTCATTTCCTATTCTGAGCATTGCTCTAATGAAGATACTTTCCTATCTCTTTAGCTCTCATTATAAGAAGTGGAAGAGCTTGGATATATATCCTAAATCCTACTTCAAAAGATGTTGTTTTCCCAATTTCACAGGAACCGAAGCAGTTATTCTGCTTTCTCTGTAGTTCTAGAAAAACAAAGACTATCCAACAAGCTCAGGTTTATGAGGCTTCATGAGGCCCACCAGCACTTGCTGAACCTCTCTTCACTGATTAAAATCAGAAGTCTCTGGAGTCAGTGGCCATGATTTAACCTGCACCTTTTCTGATATGCGATTTCTTACCTTTATTTCTTTTCAAGTCTTCCAACTCCACCCCTATCCTGCCTCATGCAAAATACTTTTTATTTCAAAAAGTTACAAAGGCACAGGATACAAAAACAATATACAAAAATCTTTTGTGTTCTGTACATTAACAAACTATCAGGAAAATTAATTAAGAAGACAACCCAAAAATAATACCTTAGAATAAATTTAACAAAGAGGTAAAAAGAACTGTACACTGAAAACTATATGACATTAATGAAATAAATTGAAGAAGACACAAATAAATGGAAAGATATTCTGTGTTCACAGATTGTAAAAATTAATATTGTTAAAATGTCCATACTACCCAGACTAATCCCAGCTATATTCTTCACTATGTCAAAATGTATCATAGAACAAAAGAGGAAATGTGCAAGTCCTTGTTTGGCTAGCTACCAACTTTTTGTTTTCTAGAACAAAGTGTTGCTGCTATTGATTTTGTTATTTGTTCTGCTTTGTTTTTCATTACACTTGTACGTACTAACATAAGGACAATGTTGTGAAGGCAAAAATAATTAATTCAAAAATACTTATTGAATATCTGGCAGACACTGTGCACTACGGAATCTAATGAATATAAAAACTTGTGGCTATCTTCATGGTCCTTAGAAGCGAGGGGAAAAGATAGATACTGACCAAACAATCATACCAACAAGTTGAAATTTTCATTGGTGGTAAGTGCTATGAAGCAGAGATATATCTATAAATAGAAGGAACTTGACAGAGTCGAGCTGCTTAGAAATGTTTGCCCTGGGAAATAAGGGAGAATTAATCTGGAGAAGAGGTGAACTTTCCAGCCAGGAAAAAAGCACATGCGATCACCTTAAGCTGACAAAGAAAAATAAGGCCTATGAGCATGGAGTGCTGATGAGGAGTGTGTAAATACTTTGCCAAATTATGTGGTAAGAAACTAGAGACTTCAGGATTTTTTTTTTCTGTGTGATTAAGCGTGTCTGAGATATAGTAGGTTTCTGACTCTTCTCCACCCAAACAAGAGAGTCCATTGACCGGCCACCATGCATAATTTTAACAATAGTTCTGTCCTAATATGAGAGGGTAGTAATACATTAGTGGTTCTGGGATGTTCCTGAGCATCACTGGGAAGGAGTATATATTTAAATATTATTATTATTTTGCTTTTACCAAAAGTCTTGGTATTTATAAATACCACAGAGTTGCAATACAATAGGTAATAAATATTAAGTTGATTCTTAGGTTTGCCAGACCTCAAAAGTAAATTTAGGACAGCACTGGGTTATGATTTGATGGTATTGGTACTACCATATTTCCTGTTAATATTTGTTACTTTTGGGATCCCTGGATGGCTCAGTGGTTTAGCTCCTGCCTTCAGCCCAGGGCGTGATCCTGGACATCCCGTATCGAGTCCCACATCAGGCTCCCTGCATGGAGCCTGCTTCACTCTCTGCCTGTCTGTCTGCCTCTCTCTTTCTCTGTGTCTCTCATGAATAAATAAATAAAATCTTTAAAAAAATTGTTACTTTTCAAGGGTATCTGCCTGTGAAAAGAAAGCATAAGAAATATAAGAAACAGTTTTAAAAGTTCATGGTTAGACATTCCCCCTTCCCCCCCAGCTGATAAATAACATTCTTTTTTTTTAAAATAGTATTTGCTGGGAAGTGCTGGGTACCAAACACTGTTTCCAGGCAAGACTGTGGCAGAGAAAATGCCATGTATTCACAACACCTTTATCGCTTTGTAAGCCAAGGGAGCTCTTCTCTAAGTGCTAGGTGGGAGGCTATGCAAAACATGAATCATTTAATAAATTAGATCTTAAAATTTATTTCGTTGAATTTTGTTTCTTAACAGATTTGAGAGCCAAAGTGAATGACATTCAGGGACAAGAAACACAGGTATAACATCCAAAAGCCCTTTTGAGTTCACTGTTTTTCTTGCCCTTGCCCTTTCAGAGTGCTATTGGTAAGTCCTCTTGGTTTCAGCTCTGTTCTTGCATTCAAACTATTGATCTAATTGGCTTTCCAGTCCAGGGTTAGTAAGTCAGTCTAGACTCACAGGAGGCTTTAATGGAGCACGTCCCTAGCCCTTGATTCAGTCCATAAGTCCATGTTGGAATCTCTTCCCCAGTTCCAGAATAAAGTCCTTATTTACTGGAGTTTACTGGTTTGGTCCTTTCCCCATTTCCTGCCCAAAGTCTCCCTGAATGGAGTCTGCTGGTTCAGTGCACATTCAGGATTGCTGATGTAGTGCATGGGGACTTCTCTTGGCCAGTCCACAATGACACGTTTTGATTACTGCAGGTGTGTTAAGGTGCACAAGTTTGTTTGTCTTGTTTTGTGTAAATAAAGGCTTTGCTAGAGGGATTTTGGAGACCAAAAAGATATAAAAATCAGTGGGCACAGGTTGAAGTAGAAGCCAGCGAAATGTAATTTTTTTCTCATTAAAAAAATAAATTCAATTAATTAACATATAGTGTATTATTGGTTTCATAGGTAGAGTTCAGTGATTCATCAAGCTTTTATAATACCCAGTGCTCATTATATCACATGCCCTCCTTAATGTCCATCACCCAGTCACCGCATCTCCCTACCCCCTGCTCCTCCGGCAACCCTCAGTTTGTTTCCTATGATTAAGAGTCTTTCATGGTGTGTCTCCCTCTCTGATTTCATCTTTTTTTTTCTCTTTCCCTATGATCCTCTGTTTTGTTTCTTAAATTTCACATATGAGTGGGATCATATGATAGCTGTCTTTCTCTGACTTATTGCGCTTAGCATAATGCCTTCTAGTTCCATCCATGTTGTTGCAAATGGCAAGATTTCTTTTTTTCTGATGGCTGAGTAGTATTCCATTGTATGTATGTCTTCTTTATCCATTCATCTGTCAATGGACATCTCAGCTCTTTCCGTAGTTTGGCTATTATGGACGTTGTTGCTATAAACATTAGGTTGCAAGTGCTCAAGTAGTTGTAATTACTGGGTTGTAGGGTAGCTTTTTTTTTAACTTTTTGAGGAATCCTCATATTGTTTTCTGGAGTGGCTGTACCAGCTTGCATTCCCACCAGCAGTGTGAGAGAGTTCCCCTTTCTCCACATCCTTGCCAACATCTGTCGTTTCCTGACTTGTTAACTGTAGCTATTTTTACTGGTGTGAGGTGGTATCTCATTGTGGTTTTGATTTGTACTACCCTGCTGCCAAATAATGTGAAGCATTTTTTCATGCCTGTTGGCCATTTGTATGTCTTCTTTGGAGAAATATCTGTTCATGTTTTCTGCCCATTTCTTGACTGGATTATTTGGTTTTGAGTGTTGAGTTTCTTAAGTTTTTTTTTTTTTTTTATAGATTTTTGGATACTAGCTCTTTTCTGATAAGACATTTTCAGATATCTTCTCACATTCTGAGGTCTTTTGGTTTTCTTGGCTGTTTTCTTTGCTGTGCAAAAGATTTTAATCTTGATGAAGTCCCAATAGTTCATTTTTGCCTTAGCTTCCCTTTCCTTTGGAGACATGTCTAGAAAGAGGTTGCTGAGGTCAAGGTCACAGGGGTTGCTGCCTGTGTTCTCCTCTAGGATTTCGAAAGATTCCTGTCTCACATTTAGGTCTTTCATCCATTTTGAGTCTATTTTTATGTATGGTGTTAGGAAATGGTAAAGTTTCATTCTGCATGTGGCAAAAGGTAAAAATTCTTACCAGAATCAGTTCTTCCTTTTCTTTTGTTTTCTTTTTTTTTATACTTTCATATAATTTTGATTTAAAAAAATAGACTCCAAATTTCTATAGTAATATATTGAGTAAAAAAATAAAAAAAAACAAGAGGGAAATGTGCATAATTTATCTTAATGAATGGTGTATATGGTATTTTTTA